CTCACTTGTACTTACAATCTTATTTTTCTCTCTTCTGTAAATGGCTGCACTGCAAGAAAAGAATATCCCACAAGGTATTCATAAAGTATTTCTGATTCTGAAAGCACCTATGCATTACAGACCGGAGTTTGGTCTGGAGTTAAGGGAGGACAGGCAGTCCCGAACAAGCACCTTTTTTTAAAAGCCACCTCAAAACAGTTAGAGAGCATTCCCTATTTCTAGCTTTTTAAACATTATTTTCTCTATATCCCATTCAAACTGAAAAAAGGTTTGCCTTGGGTGCACTTCTTTAATCTACACCATGACTGTAAACCAGTCCCTGATTGGTTGCTGTGACGCAATTTCATGGAAAAGTTTGGCTTTTTCGACTTCAGTGATAACCACTCTGCTCTCTCCATGTGGTGCTGCTGTTTGACAACACCTCAGTTCTATTTAGTAGCAGCAGGTGAGAGGGGAGCAGTAAATGCTCTCACCGTGTGGGATTCACCTTTGGCTGCTTCCCTGCCCTTTTCCACGCAGTTTGCATAGGGATACTATATAGATTAACCACCCTTTCCGCGGACACTTTTGTTGGTCTGAAAGTACTTTGAGGGTCCTTGTTTGTCAGTAGTATATGTATGTCTAGGGGGTGCAGCTGAATCCCTGAAGGGCCTCCTATTTGTTTATCTGTCCCTATAGCTTTCTGGGTGAGGTGGATTTCCTTGCCTGCACTTCCCCTTTCTTTACTTGAGGTGTGGCTATTGGTTGTCAGTGGCATATGTATGTGTTGTGTTTGCAGTTGGATCATTTAAGGGTCCTTATTTTGAATATTCATTTCTATATCTTTCTCTGTGTGGTCCATATCCCTGCTGACGCTTGCCCTTTCATTGTTTGAGGTGTGGATGTGTAGTCTCTGTGAGTTGTGTACATGGAGTGGGTGTATGTGGACCCACTGGAGTCCTTGTTTCTGTTTATCAATCCCTATTTCCAGTGGTGGATGAAGTATTTAACAGTAGTACTTGAGTAAAAGTATTGATACTCACAGTCAAATCTTACTCAACTGCAAGTTAAAGCTAGTTGTTCAAAATCCTAAAGTTAAAGTACTAAAGTACTGACTTTGGAAGTACTGAAGTATTTAAAACTACTAAAGTATTAAAAAGTAACAATTACATTTTCTAATATTAGTATATTTATGTTTAATTTTCAGAGTTATTTTAAAGAACCTTGTAACTTTCAGAAGCCCCCTGATGTTTTGATGCATAGAACCACCTGCTACAGTTTCTACACCACCTGGAAAGAACTTCAGCATAAAAAAAGGCCACAAAAATAAAGACAGGTATTTTAATTATTATTTCTTATTTAAAGAAAACAGGAGTGTTTTAAATCTTCTCACACTTTCCCCATGGAATAGAGGTTCAAGGTTGAATCTATTACCAGAAAGAAACTGCAACTCTGATTTGAGAACTAATCCTTCTGAACAACTTGGCCACATGGCAACAACTAACATCTTAGTAAAGTTTATGAGCTACTAATAATATCGACCCTGAATTTCTCACATTTTGGAACGTCGTGCAAATCTAAAACAAAATCTAAAAACAGTGGTGTTTAAATTCGGCCCTAAAAGCTGTTATCTTACATGTTGAAATTGCATTTAAAAAGTAACAAGTAATTAGCAGCTTCCTCAAAATGTAGTGAAGTTGAAAGTACAAAATTACTCATGTACAGTAAAAATGCTCAAAAAAAGTACAATAATCTAGTAAATGTACTTTGTTACTTTCCACCACTGTACTACCTCGTAGCTATGCCTAGCAGAACATTTGAGGACTAATAATCATAGCGTTGGGTCTACAGGCGTTTCAACTGTTTATTACCAGATGGCAATAAAAACATACACAATGTATTTTTAAAATGGCCGGACAATAAGCGATATTCACTAAAAGCAATGACAGTGATTTATTTCTACTTCAATACTTATTACCATTTATATTCCATTTAATCTATCCCACACAGAGTTGTGTGAATCATTTATTGTTGCATAGTTTCTTTACCTTATGATAAATTACTAAGAAATACATTTTTAGCTTGTGTTTAAATTGCCTGAACGTTAAACCCAACACCAGCATGTTCCAGTGGTTGTGATAATGGAATGTAGTTTGCTCTTATGGGAATTATGAAGTGATCAGACTGACCAGTACTGTTGGCAGTAGGTGAAAGAAAAGTTTTTCTTTTACCATTAATATTATTATAAGAAATGTTTGTCTTTCTGTATTTTCAATATCCTTTTTTTAATGCTCCTGTCAATCATAGAAATTCAAAATGGAAGCACATTACAGATTTAAATTCCTTTGTGACGTTTCAAATGAGTATAATAATCCTATACTGACCCCTAGTGGTTGATATAATTGGTGTCGAATGAATATGAATGTTCAGAACTAGAGGATTCTAGCAGGTTTGATGATAATTTAACAGCATATATTCACATATTTAAATGGTGTTCAACATGAAATAAGCATAGAAGTGACAGAAATGTTCCAACTAAATACTAAAAATAACATAAAAGCCAGAAACATGGTAAGAAATAGATCCAATATTTGTTCTGTTTTAGTATTTAGAGATCAGATGAAAGTTTGTTCGCTTTGTTTCTGATGTTTATAGAGTTTATGTCCTCTAAAGATCACTCCTCCTACCCTAATAACTGCTATAATACTCTTTGTTCTGGGTCATTGCACTGATGGGTTAAAAACAATCCATTTTGGGTAGCTTTACCAAACCCAGCCCTGGTTAAATATTGGACAGAATAGATGCTAGGTTCATTTAACCCAACAATTTGGATTTATCCTTTAATACAGCAATTGGATTGTTTATAAAGCCAGATCAAGGGCTCACATTGACTTCACTGCTGCTGCTGTTGTTCAAACCAGCAAATGGGTTGTTAGTATATTGTTATTTTGAATATTACCATATATTTTATAACTATTATGCCAAATTAAAATCATGAATATTTTTGATATATTAGAACTATTAATTGTTAATATTGCACTTCTAATTATTTATTATCTTCTTCATGAAATACTTTTTCACAGATTTTTTACCAGACTGGATGCCCTAGCCTAGATACTACAATGGCTGTGTATAGAATGCTGCAGTTCATCATTGCTGTTGGGCAGAAAAATTTGATTTATAGAATTCAAATAAACTTTTTTATGAATGAATGCCCTACTTTATACAAAAGTGTTTCACAAATGTTGTGAATCAGATCTAGTTCAACACATCATACTGGGAAATATAGCAGACAGACAAGCTAACAAAATGTACAATAAAGGAATTGTTTAAGACATACAAGGTTTCAATGGTAAAGCAAGTACTTCCTGATCTACTATGAATTATGCTTTATACAGACATCAATAAAATCTTCATTACTCCAAAAAAATCGAAGGAGAAAAAGCATTCTTCTCTCTCCTTTGACAATTTTGGCTTTATTTCTGATAATTTATCCCTTTTTTACTGCTGCAAAGGGGTCAAAGTAGATTTAAATTTACAGGGTTTTGATATAGTAAAACATACAGAGAGAGCCGACATACTTGCCTTGTAAGGCTAACTAAAATGTTGAAATATTTAAAGGAAACAGAGAAAATGTTTTAATGACAATACAAGGAAATATTTACATCATACATGAATAGATAGAAAAAATAACTATGAGAGAGAAATATTCAAAGATCTATGTACCGTTTCATCTGAGTCTTTAACCAAAAATACGGTAAGCAAAGCAATAAAATATTTGCTTTGGATATCATTTAGGGATTCCTTTTGGTAGAAATTAAAGAATGTTTTGTATCACCTGGACGCTGGAAGAAATAATATATTGACAGTTAGACAAATGGATTTCTTACACTTGGCAGAGGATGATCAGCCACATAAAGTTTATTAAGTAGCGAGAGCAGGAAGAGCCATACTGCTGAGAGCAAACGACCAGTGTGGAGCGTTAAGTGCAACCTCAGAGCTAACGCACGCAAAGACGCCTATCTGCACAAGCACAGCTTGAAGATTGGAGTTTGTGAGAGTTCAGCGTGCAGTGCTGGACGATGCTGGATTATTTTCATACCTGCCGCTGCTGCTATGGCTACACAACTGATACTGCTTAGCAGATTACAGCACAATGATGCATTTTAAATGTCTGACAGACCGACCGCTAACATTTTTATTTAGTCTCGTCTTGTCAATGAAAACTCACACTCATGAGTCGTCATGTTTTCATCATCAAAGATCCACGTTCATCTCGTCAGTTTTCGTTATGGTAATGATAAGAAGGAGCATTAGCGCAAAAATTAATAAAAGTATTAATAAATATTATTAAATAAAAGTATTTGTGCTTTGCAACTTTGTAATTGTACTTTTTTTTATCTATTACAGAACAAAATTCGGTATTTGCACTTAAAATTTGAAAAAAGTGTAAAAAAAAAAAAAACTGTACTTTTGAATTTTTTTGTATTTTTCAAATACAAAACTTATAGTCTAACTCTCTCTGCAACTTCAAATTCACACTTAAAATGCACAAATAGTTTTGATTCCAAATTACCTTCAGATAAATGCATCGGTTATTAGTTTGTGTGATACATTTTCTGTTTGTTCTTCCTCTCTTTCTGTAGGTGTAGAGGCGGACTGGGAGGATTTTTATCTTGTATTTTCCTTTTTTCTGTCTATCGTTCTTTTTGCCCTCTAATTTTTCTCCTAACCTCTCTCCCTTTCTTTTGTCATTTTCCTTTAAATGTCCTTTTTGTGCCCATTACATCTGAAATAATCCCAAAGCACGTCTAATACAGCTTTTTTCACATATAAAGTGGAGCATTATAGCAAAAGTCGTAATGCTCCATTTGTGAAAATAAATTTTTGGGTTTCTCTTTGGCACTACGAAGACGATTAACAGAACATGTTAATTAAAAGGAAAAAAGTCAGTTTAAAAGACACCTAAAGAAAAATGTTTAATTTCTCCTCTGCTGACACACCTCCTCTTCACCTGTCAGGTGTGTCTCCAGGTGAAACATCTAAAGGCTTTATTGCTCAGTGACGTGTTTTCCGAGCAGATAAGTGTTGGCGTTAGTGACCAAGGTTGAACTTTGCTCCCTGTGTCAGTTTGAGTCCCACCTGCTGGTCCAGGAAATGCAGCTCTGATCAACAGCACAGTCCACAGCAGCCGCCACGGAGTAAGTACATCAAAAATACAGATGATTATCCCTTTCAATACGCTATTTTCTTTTGTTTTTACGTGGAGAATTAAAACAACTAATACATGAAAGAAAACATTGAATAGTAAAATTGTAATACAATATTATATATTCTACAGTAAAGGAATGTTACAAAGATTGTATTGGTACAATGATACAGTGACACTGCTTTGGAAAGTTCAAGATGGTTTTATTAAATAGTTAAATAATTTTATCCTTTTTGATGCAATTAAGTTATTTTTCCCTGTTTGTCTACAGTCAGATGGTTTTCTCCTTTAAATTTCTTTCTCCCTACCAGGTTCAAATATATATATGTTTCACTTGTAGAGACGTTCTTAATCATGTAAAATCAGCTTAGAAAAAAAAAAAAGATTTTTTTTCTTTAGAGGTATGTGGGTATGTTAAGGTTTATATTGTTTTTTGGTTTTATTTCTAATTCCGCTACAGATCTGTGATTGAAACATGTGTTTATGTTACCCTTCAGAGTGAAAGCACTGAAATGATTGCTTCCTGGAAATTATGGTTTGGCCTTGTGTTCATTTGTTCACAACAATGCAGAGGTTAGTGTATTTATTATATTTCATTTCTAAATGTATGCACTGTGTGGCTGATTAGAGATTCTAAGTTTATACACCGTATAAAACAGCAAGAGATATAAAAAGAAAGAGATGTGTAAAGACATGTTAATATTTTTAACAGGCAGTCACTCGGATCATTAAGGCTTTTCTACAGTAGAATCTGAATATTATTGGTCCCATTTATGATTGAATGACATTAAAGTTACATATTGAAAAATAAATGTAAAACATGAATTTGAAAGCAGAAGTGTTTTTTTCTGCTTTAACAAGCAAAGATGGCCCCTATCAGCTACAGTCCAGAAATTAGCCGCAACCAAGACTAAAGGAAGCATGTCAGCATCTAAAAACATTTGATCAGAGCATGCAGACCTACATTAACATGATGTTTGGTTGCATTCTGGGACCAGCAAGATAGGGTGAAAGCAGATTGATTTAGCTTCTAAACTCCTAAGTCTTACAGTATTTAAAACTAATAATGGGAGAGCTGATCATCAAACATTTACTGTCATTTGATTAATTGATTGAATGCTTGATTGACTTTATTAATCACACAGTAGAGAAATTTACTTGTTAGATTGGCTCAATAATCAAAAAGAAGGTGCCAAAAGTGGTGCATATGGAGGGTATATATATATATATATATATATATATATATATATATATATATAAAACAGCTGAAGTCTCTTTATTTACAGGATTATTATTGCACTCGGTATTAACTAGGTATTTATTGTAGAAGCTCATTGGTAGAATTTTCTTATGACAGAAAGAAGAACACTTGAAAACGATTCACACAATTTTGTCCTCCCAAGGGGAAAACATTTATTTACAATTCAAATTCCTAACACTTCAGTTTTCCCTCTCCAGAGGGAAATAGCTGAGATTGTCTGTTGTGATGTGTAGCGCTGTAATGGTCTACTGAAGACAGCATGTGAATTTGATCTGTCAAAATAAGCGCTTCTTCCCTGTCCTGTGGGCAAATGAGATATTTGACTGAAGGTGTCTTGATTTTTGAGAATTCTACCATTTGAGCCTCCAACATTATTTAAATGGGTATATATATATATATATATATATATATATATATATATATATATATATATATATATATATATATATATATTTATATAGGACTGGATATCAAATATAAAAACAGGTTATTGAACGGGGTATTACATAGTAATTGCACATTAGGTATTGCATAAGTTATTAGATTTTTAGCGATTCATTTTGATTATAACCATCTATTTTCCAAGTATAACATACTTTATCTATGTAAACTGAGGGGAGTGGTTCAGACATCTAATTATTGCATACACTCATTCAGTTGATAATCAGACAAATAGACTTACAAAAGTTATTATTCATGTAATATGAATTCTTTAAAATCAAACTACTTAGGTTTGTCAATTTGACATCAATGTAGGGCATGTGAAGGATTGTTTTTAGGATTTCCTTGTGTTTGAGTTTCAGTCCATTCAGACGGCAACAAAGCAAAGTGCTTTTTAAAATATTCACGCACTCTGAGCAAACATGAACACTTTTCAAACACCAGAGTAAACATAACAGGCAGGCTGTGCTTCGTTTCAAAGTTTTCTCCTGATTCCATTCTTTGGTCTAAAATTATAATCTTCATCAAGCCTAATTTGATACATATATAAGTTGATCTGTTCATCGATCATCTCTGATAAAAAAATAAAAAATTACATTTTTTCTCTCCACTTTTTAGGAATAAAGTTAATCGAGGCATAATACTCCTAGATTAAATCATTTTTTGTTAACTTTAGATCACCCATCTCAATAAATAGGACAAAATATTTATATAACTGTGTTTAAGGTCAGAATGAAAATCTATTTATTGGAGGTTTATATTAGAGAAAATTAACAAAGGATAATTCAATTGTTCTCTTTATTGACTTCTTTGAGCGAAACATGAGAGTTTTGTCCTGTTTACAAATAAAGAGTTCATAAAACACCATTATGTTTAGATCGATGATAACATAAAGGCTCTTGTCTTATTTTATAAATTCTCTGTTTTCTTTCCAGTGGAAACTCAGAAACTCCAGGTCGAGCCTCTGGACTTGGCAGCTTTGAGAGGTTCTGATGTCCAGTTTATCGCCAACGTTGAGGGAACTTGGGATGTCATGACCTGGAAGGTTGGAAAGCTTCTAGTACTGACCATAGCCGACGACATAATCGGATCTGGGAGATTCAATGCTAGTTTCTGCTATAATGACTCAAGACGTTGCGTGGAGTTCAAGATCTATGATGTCAGCCATGAAGATAGTGGAGCAGTTGAGTGTGAACTACAAAGTCATGGATCCCTGACAGCTCAGCTCTATGTACAAGGTGGAGTCAATGCATCTCCTCTTTTCACACTGGTATCTTTTTATACAAATAAGAATTTGTGAATGTGGCTTTAAAGGGATAGTTCGGTATTTTTGACATGAATCTGTATGGCATCCCCATCACCAGTGTCATGCAATCACACT